TAAAAATTGGTCCTGATCTAACTGGTTAATGCGACGATACAAACATCAGTGGTCACAATGGTGCCAGAACTTGATGGTAACTAAAGCCTTTTCTCAGCTTTTGTTATGAGGAAAAAACTTTGTTGTGAGAATCTTTTGGGTGTCAGAAGTTTGTTGTGTGTACTGCCAGATATCTCTCTCTCTCTCTCTCTCTCTCTCACGGGGGTCAACATTTAAATGACATCATGGCTGACGACTCATTACCTGACCCCAATAATAAACCTAATTGGCTGTTGATAGTTTAACGATGAAGGCTGACTTTGAATTTGTTGACTGATTAATGAATTGATTAACGAAGTCATTGAACGTGCAGTGGTCAATAACAACGAGGGGAGGGGTGGGGGTGGTGTGAGAAGACGTATACATGACAGGAAATAGTTTAGCAATTACTGAACAATACTGGAACTGAACGAAGCGAATCAGGTCATTTTTATTTCGTATTCATTGTGGTTCCTCCTGAAAGACGAAAAGTAGCTGACCTGAAAAACGAAAATCACTTAAACCTTTGACTACGATGACTTAACCCCTTGAGAACGATGACTTAACCCTTTAAATATGATGACTTAACCCTTTGTAATTACTTAACCCATTAAGTACCATAACTTAACCCCTTGAGAACCATAACTTAACCCCTTAACTACAATGATATCCCTTAACCACGATGACATTAACCCTTTAAATACAATTGGGATGTCTAACCTTCACATGATATAATACCTATACATTTTTATATCATGTTTTCATCACGTTCCATACACCTGAACCATACCTACTCTCACCTGATCTGGCTGGTGCGTTGTGTGGCATGACTGGACGGGTGTATTCAGGTGTTGTTGTCTGCTGATCGATGTATAGTACTGAAGTGTTTATTTATTTATGCGTTTCTTATACTGGGTGTAGTGTCGTGATATGCGTTTGTTGGTTCACCTTACGACTAGAGACCTTAGTTTGTTTTACCTGATGATTAGAGACACACTACCTTATTTCACCTTGCCGGAAGTTTATGAAAGGTGTTCGAATTCCGGGATTGTAGTCTTTGAATTCCAGATTAGGGTCTTTGAATTCCGGGATTAGGTTCTTTGAATTCCAGATTAGGGTCTTTGAATTCCGGGATTAGGGTATTTGAATTCCAGATTAGGGTCGCTGAATTCCAGATTAGGGTCTTTGAATTCCGGGATTAGGGTATTTGAATTCCAGATTAGGGTCGCTGAATTCCAGATTAGGGTCTTTGAATTCCGTGGTTAGGGTATTTGAATTTCAGATTAGGGTCGCTGAATTCCAGATTAGGGTCTTTGAATTCCGGGATTAGGGTATTTGAATTCCAGATTAGGGTCGCTGAATTCCAGATTAGGGTCTTTGAATTCCGGGATTAGGGTCTGAGGTCTGGGAGTGAGGTCTGAATTGTAGGATTAGGATCTTTGAATTCTGGGATTGAATCGAGACCTATTGGCTTCCGGAAATGAGGTGATTGAACTCCTCGAAAGGACACCAGGAATGGGGTCACTGAATTCCCGAGAATGGAACGAGGTCCTTCTATTCCTTGGAACAGGGTCAGGTAATTTGGGCAAGCAGTTGTCGGGGTTACAGCTCTCCCCTTCCTGGTAACTGGTAGTGGTAGTGGTGGTAGTGTTGGTTGTAGTGTTAGTGGTGGTGTTGGTGGTAGTGTTGATTGTAGTGTTGGTAGTGATGGTGGTAGTGGTGGTGGTAGTGGTGTTGGTTGTAGTGTTGGTGGTAGTAGTGTTGGTAGTGGTGGTTTAACTGCTAAGTGGGGAGTGTTATTCTGATATAACATTTTGGTAATAGTTAGTGAACTCTGTTAGCTTGTTACCGTTTCCTGATAGTTATTGATTTCCGTTGGCTAATAGTTATCCCATCCCGTTAGCTGTTTGTATTAGTCTGTTAGCTGTTTTTTTTTAGTTCCGTTGGCTATAATCACGACTGTTGCTGTTAGGTTTTGTAGCCCCGTTAGCTCTACTGTTGTTGTATTAGGCTATACAGTAACGTTTGCTATGCAGTTGTATTAGGCGATGTAGATTCTTACTCGCCAATGATTCTTATTCACCAAAGATTCTTAAAGATTCTCACTCCCCAAAGATTCTTAAAGATTCTCACTCCCCAAATATTCTCACACACACACAGACCAATGATTCTTCTCCTGGAAAACGAAAATTACCCCCATATGTGGCTGGTCTTCCCAAGGGAGAGCAATATCGGCCGAGGTTAATAATAAACACTCAATTATATTTCTTCCTGTGGTGCCCCAAGTTACAGAAGAGGAAGATTGATTTACGACCCACTGTACTCCTTTCAGTTGACTTATGTAATATGTTCCTGTATTTTTCATGTAAACGTTACAGGGGAAGGTTAAAGGAGAGTTCTAATTGGTTGAGATTGATTTTCAGTACTGGATTTTGATTGGTTTGTAATGGTTTAGTAAAGTTATATAATTTGATTGAGAAATAAACTGAGTAATTGTTTTTCACTTAAGATTTTATTATGCTGGGGTGTGTTAGACTGGTGACTTAGACAACTGACTGGTAAATTAAACTGTACAATGAAGTTCTGGTAACAGGTATACAACAGACTATACACAGACGCCATTAACTGTTAACTCTCAACATACACAAAACTCCGGGTAACTGGTACATTAAACTGTCAACTAGTAGACCGTTAATAGTAAAAAAAAAGTGTGGGACGGTGTAACGTAGTGTGGCCAGGGGAGAGTGTGGCCATACAGTGTGGCCATATATCAGGTAGACTCTCGCTATATGGTTGTGACTTGGCATTTGTGATGGTAAGGTGGGGTGGGGGGGGGGATACCACTGTTACCAAGGCCAGCCAGCACCCTATGGTAACTCACTTCCCTTCCTCTCCCTCACCTAACCCCCCCACCTCTCCCTCCCTCACCCTCCCTCTTGTTGTGTATGGTGGTTGGTGAGGGAGGTTGGTGCTCACTGTCAGATAGCCTTTATATGACGTGTGTGTTGAGGTGGTTATTGAACTGGCTCTATTCCTCGTCTGTTTTTGTTTATTGAGGTTTGTTTGTGTTTAATAGCTTTTGTGTTTACTTAGCTTTGTTTGTTTTGTCTTGTTTGTATTTGCTTTGTTTGTTTGTTTTGTTTGTGTTTATTGTTTTTGTTAATAAGTTTTATTGTGTTTATCTTACCTTTATTTATGTAAATTTCACTTGTTTGGTTAAGTTAGGTTAGCGTTGGGTTTGGTTGGTCATCTAAAAAAACCAACAATTAAACTGGGGTGGCTAATCTTCAGGTGATCCACTAATTTATTCTTTTTAATTTTACTTTATATAATTCCTAGCACAGTGTATTAACTCTGTATGAGCTGAGAGACGAATAACTCACAATAACAAGAATAGCGTGTGTATGACTGTCAACATTGTGTATATTTGTATCTCGTCATATATGCAAATTAGCTTGTATATCCGCAGCATAACTCGTCATTACTAAAAGCTACATCACATAACAGTATCCCCCTCCCCTCCCCTCCCTCCCCCCTTCCTAAAGCTGCTGTGCTTCTGGGGATGAACTTAAGGTCAAAGGTTAAGGTCGCAGTTTTGGACACAATATGCGGGTCACCTGATCATTGTTGTCTCTAGGTTAGGTTAGGTTTGGGTTTGGTTAGGGAGCAGGAGGGAGGTTAATCTTCAGGTGCACACACACACACACACACACACAACTCCTCAGTCGACTCCTTAAAGCTAAAAGACGTCCTGTGTGTGTTTACATGCTCTTAAAAGTTAAGTTAAATTCACTTTCTGTCGAATAAATTCCCCGTTAAATTCACTTTCCGTCGAATAGATTTCCAGTTGAATTCACTTTCCGTCGAATAAATTCCCCGTTAAATTCACTTTCCGTCGAATAAATTCCCCCTTAAATTCACTTTCCGTCCAATACATTTTTCATGGAGAACAATTTCTGTCTCACCACTTAGACAGATTCACCCCTTAACAGTATCTGTCCAAAACACAAAGACAGGCGTTGGAAACATGCAAATGGAATTGTTTTCATTATCAAATTAACCGGGATTTCCATATGTGCTCTCTCTCTCTCTCTCTCTCTCTCTCTCTCTCTCTCTCTCTCTCTCTCTCTCGTGTGTATTATTGCTACACAGGAAAAAATACACAGGAGTGACGACACATTATTACGTTGTTGTCAGTGAATATTAACACACACACACACACACACACACCTCCATTGACATATACAGAAGCGCAGAATTACATAAATACATACGGATATACAAAGACAAGAACACACACAAATACAAGTACATAGACAAACAGGAAGAAACACTCAAACAAACACAACAACAATGACATACACAGACATATTATACATTCTTAAACATACAGGCAAGCACAATAATACACATACACATATAAACACATTCACAAACTTAGACGCGCGCTCAACCATACACACACACACAAACAAACAAACGCACACATAATACTCACACAAACACAGATACAACAATACACACGAACGCACAAATATACAACACTACACACACACACACACACACACACAAACAAACACACCAAACAAAAAAATCCCTGCAACATCATAAAACAAGGAAAGTAGAGACAATAATTAAGGTGTGGACAACAATACCAGGTAAGAGAATGACTCGTACCTGTTAGCCAGTCGAGATCCAGCGAGTCCTCCCAACCTGAGGCTCCAGGTCCCAGGTTACCAGAGTCCAGACCATCATGACCTGGACCTGAGCCTAGTGGACCGAACTCTAACATCATGGAGGAGGAGGAGGTAGTGGTGGAGGTAGTGTTGCTGGTGGAGGTATTGGAGGAGGAGAGGGAGGTAGTGGTTGAGGAGGGAGAGGTAGTGGTGGATTTTGTGAAAGGGGAAATAGTGAAGGAGAAGGTAGTGATGGAGATAGTGGAGGGGGAGGTGGTAGAGGTAGTGGAGGGGGAGGTAGAGGTAGTGGAGGGGGAGGTAGGGGAGGTGTAGGAGGTGAACGTCTTCGGTCCACCACCCAGATTAACTTGATGGGTTTAAATCGTTTTCTCTCCTGGTTTTTTTTTTACGAAGGGGTAACTGAGGTAACTGGCGATCTCCCTTCTTTTTGGCGGAGACGGTAGATGGAGAGGGTTGGGAAGGAACTGTCTTGAGGTTTGTTTGTTTATTATTTTCTTTTTTATGATAGAAATGTTTGAGTATTGTTTTGTGTTTTGTTGTATTTATTTACGTCCTGGGTGCAGTGTGGGCAGCAAGACGGGGACCACACAGCTGCGTCCGAGTTATCCACACCTGCACCATAGTCAACACACTTGTTCTGTATCACCTGAGAACGGATGGTGTTATCATCACTCCACTAAACATTTATTCTTTGTCAGTCGCCACAGCCACATTGAGCCGTGTCATTTGCTGTCGTTGGGGTATACACGTGTAAATGGTACCTCTTAGATTTAATTCATGTATGCAAATCCGTAAATTCCTGCCCTAGTGACAAGCAAGCACGTTTTCTAAGACCAACACAACATATCGTTTTGTTGGGTGTACTGTATGTCACTCCTGGCTCACTGACAGTCCGAGACGGGTGTATCTCCTGGCCCTCTCCTGCCTATCCTTCCTCCCCATCTATGTAACTCACTACACATACACATCAATACCGAGTTCCATTGTTTCCGAGACCTGGGGAAACGAGCGTCGTACACCACCCGTCTACCCGCCAGCGTCACCACCAGCACACTGACGGTGGACTAGACACACCCACCACCAGGCAGTCCGACCGTCCCCTTCCCTCACCCCCTTGCTGCCGCCGCTGTCCGTCCCTCAACAACTCTCTCTCTCTCTACATATATATAAACACACACACACACACACACACACACACGTATACCAAAACCAAACAGACTTAAAACCTGGAAGACGAAAAAAAAAAAAAGATTTGTACACAACATTTTGGTATTAGCCGTCGTGCAAGTCTCCCCAAGCGTGTGTACTCGCCTCGCTAGATCACACACACAGTATGTTTGAGGTTGTGCTAAAAGTGTAGGTCCTTCACGGGGCAGAGATAGAGTTTGGCAGGAGAAAATGACTGAGACAATAGGGTGGATCTGAATTATGAAGGGGCTGACCTGAACCTCTCATTCTTACTGACTGACTGCAGCTTGGTGTGATAATAATGATACGCATGATGATGTTAATTGAAGATGATGATGTGGATTGATGATGATTATAACACACACACACACACACACACACAGCCAGAGTATTAACCTCGCCCATCATCAATGCACGAAGGTAAATATTTATTCTCGCTCGTTTCGTTACTATATCACCCCTGCGCTACCTTGATGTATGTATGTATGTATGTATGTATGTATGTATGTATGTATGTATGTCTGTTTGTGCAGTCATAACGTGTAGTGGAGGTGTTATTCCCAGCCTAATAATGGCACCCCTCACATGCCTCTCCCCTCCCCTACTCTCTCACCCCCTCCGTCTTCCCTCCCCTCCTTTCCCCCTCCCCTCAGATATTCTTCAACCTCAGTCGGAAATAACACAATAAAACCTTCACTGTCTGGTAGTTTATACTCATACGATAAATAAAAAACCAAATAATTATCAGAAAAAAACCCGGATCGTATATCTATTAAGAAATATATATGTACAATTATCATCAAAACTCTCTGAACACGTAACAGTATTTGGTATCAGACTGCGTGACATAATACCTTGCTGTTCTTTATAAATTAACACCAGAATTACGATACCTATAAAAAATAAAATAAACTACAAAGAAAATTCTGAGTAAATAGTTGTGAAAATGTTGATGGCGATGGTGAACATGTTGGGGAGGAGGAGGTGAGGTAAGTGGCGGCACGTGATTAAAGTTAGTTCATCCCCCTTCCTTCCTCCTCCTCCTCCATCCCCCTCCATCCCTCCCCCTCCTCCATCCCCCTCCATCCCTCCCTCCTCCATCCCTCCCCTCTTCCATCCCTCCCCCTCCATCCCTCCCTCCATCCCTCCCTCCATCCCCCCTCCTCCATCCTCCTCCATCCTCCCCCCCTCCTCCCTCTCCCCCAACGTGTTTGTCCGTGGCTGGTCGACCCTACGGCCACTTAGACGTGAAGATGTAAAAGTTGTTAGCAAAATAAAGTTAAAAAAAGTTTTCTCTGAATGTAACTCTGTCATTGGATAATTTTCTCTCTCTCTCTCTCTCTCTCACTGACGAAGTAATATTATTGCAGTAGCTGACGGAACGCAGTAGGAGTCGACCCAGTGTTTTCATCGTTGTGTCCCTTGAAGCACAGAGACGATGACCTCCTCCTCTTCCAGGTTATATGCCAAGGACTTTGTTTTTCTTTGGCCACGAGAAAGAAAGAAATATTCTTTGTTGTTGTTTTTGCTTTTCTGTGTAACATTTTCTCTTTTTTTTTTCATTCGCATTTTTTTCAGTCAGTCTTTCTTTCATCTCTCTCTCTCTCTCTCTCTCTCTCTCTCTCTCTCTCTGCGTGCCTATTGTTTTTATTCTTCAGTGGTTTAGTATAGGTTGGGTTAGGTTATGAACTGAGACTTAACAGGCCCTTGTCTTACTGGGCCCCCAAACTAACTTAAAAAAACATTAAAAGTGACTTCTAACCCTAATGGGGCCCAATACAATGGTGCTCCCAACATCACTAGGCCCCACATAACTCAACATCCTCCGTGTACAAACCTTAACCCTTATCTAAACTCCCAGAATCCTTTTACAAACACACATAAAATACCACCTGGCCATGTTTTAACGTATGCATAGAATTAAACCCCAACCAAATTACCTGATACTAACAAGCTTAATTTGTAAATATTGTATTGGGACTCCCGTTCTAACTGTGTTAAAATGAACTTTGCCCCCAATACTGTATAATGTTATAGCTTGGCAATAGTGTTACAGGTGCATGAGACCCCCTCGTCTCTCTAATTTGTATGTAAATTACGATGTATAACCATATAGGAGTTTTACGTGGGTGTGAAATAGTGTAGTGATGCTTGGCCCTGTTGAGCTAATGGACGGTGTAACCTTCCTCTGCCTGCTGGACACACACACACACATCACATCACTAGGCTCTACACTATATACTCTACTTTTGTTTTCACTTTATAAATGTTGACAATTTATGGTCGAGGGGATAACTTAAGTGTTATTTCTTCCTCCCCCCCTCCCTCTGACTGGTGTTTGTCAGGTAGCTAAGGTGTACAGTATATATATAGTGTGTTTATATGTTTATACTGTTGATTTTGTTAGGTTAGGGTGAGTTAGGGTAGGTTAGGTTAGGTTAGGTTAGGGTGAGTTAGGGTAGGTTAGGTTAGGTTATTTTTCAATATTGTGCTTTAGACATACGGAAAAAAAAAGACTCTTTGAGAGGATGTCTGGAGGGCGGGAGTGAGGACGGCGTGTCTGCTATTATTTATGGGATGAGTCAGTCAGGCAGGCGGGCGGACGGCGTGAGTGACTTTATATACGAGAGAGAACTACTGTACACCCACATCCACTAAAGGTCGTAAGAGATAAATTTCCCCTTTAACTGTAGATGTGAACAACGTCACTGATGTAGTTCTCAAAAGTACACCTAACCTAACCTAACCTAACTGCAATATTTTTCCCATTACTTAGAGACGGGGACCTTGGTGGGGTGGGGGCGAAGGGGAGGGAGAGGAAGGCACATCACAGTACCTCACCTCTCAATACCCCGACACGAAGATGGCTGCCAGAATGATGTCGAAATTGTACCCAGACTCTCTCGTAACTAGACGTGTGTGTGCTCTTATACTCATTGAGGGGGAAATATTACCGTAGGAATCTGTGAGGGGTGTGGTGTCCAGGGCTGAGGTGAAGAACTCCTGGGAAATCGTCAAGAATCCTGGTGTAGGTGAACGCGTCCCTTGAGCCCCCCGTCTGTTGTATGATTATGCTTCTGGCTCCTGGTAGAATGTATTTTATTTCTGGCTCTGGCTCGTGGTAGAATGTGGTTGAATGTATAATATTTCTGGCTCTACAACATTAAAATACCAACAGAGACATCATTCAGTCAGTTCAGATAAGATATTATCATTATCATCATCATCTCAGCCATGTTATCATGGTGTAATGGTCAGGGTGAAACTATTGGCAAGTTTCTTTACGCCATTTGCCTCTGTCTACCCAGCAGTAATTGGGAACCTGGATGTTAATCGATTTGCGGATCGTATTCCGGGGTAATGGTTAGCTAGTGCAGTTGGCGAGTTGTCCGGTCTATTCGGACTATTCCTTGACACTGGGTCATGCAGCTCGTTAACTTAGGGTGTGGTTGTTGTGTTGTGTTGTGACACCTTCTACATCTTAAACAAATTCACGCCTAGGTGGCCCTTGGGGGTGGCCATCCTCGTTACAAAAGGGGCAATCATTATATTATATATATAGGTTATCGCTGCCTGACTAACATATACCATCAGAGAGTCCTGTTATCAGTAAGGGGTTCGCTATCCTCTCTCCCCACGTGTCCATCAGTGTCCATGCTATCTTCGTGTTGATAACCTACTGGAACACATTCAGGCGGGACCAGTAATACCAACACCAGACACGGATATCACCATTCTCACCTCCAAAGCCACATTGGTATTACCTGCAGGACTCCCACACTAGGATGAATGATAACACACTCGACTAAGACTCTGAGGAGACCTTTACCGTGACGGGAATAACTGGACATCAAGGGTTTAAAACTGCTCGATATTCTTGGCTTGGAATCTCAGCAACATCAAGGGGTCTAGAATCCTCCCCATGACTGTCAATGGTGAAGATGTTTTGATATTTTAGAGAGGAACTTCTGCTTTCTACAGTGTCTGTTAGATCTTATGTGTTTGTTGACGTCTGTGTTGAGGTGAATGAGAAGAGGGAACGTCATCCAAGTGGGTGATAAACATTACAAAAGCCTCTGGTGGTGAAGTAATGCGTTATGTTATGATTGAACGGGTTTTTAGAGTGTGTTAAGTTATTACTATTACAAATTGATTATCTTCAGTATTTCATGTTTTTTTGTGTTCTATGTATATATATTGTCTTCCTTTCCTTGCTCTTCTTTTTATCATTTCCCCCTTCTCTCCTCTTCCTTCCCCTTCCTCTCCTCTCCCTTCCCCTTCCTCTCCTCATCCATCCCCTTCCTCTCCTCTCCCTTCCCCTTCCTCTCCTCATCCTTCCCCTTCCTCTCCTCATCCATCCCCTTCCTCTCCTCATCCTTCCCCTTCCTCCCCTCATCCATCCCCTTCCTCTCCTCATCCTTCCCCTTCCTCTCCTCATCCTTCCCCTTCCTCTCCCCTCCCTTCCTCTCCTCATCCTTCCCTTTCCCTATCTTTTCATCCTTCATCATCCTTATATTGTCTCCAACAGAGTCACTGCCGACAGCATCCTCTCCCTCACCTGCTTCTAACAACACTATTAATCAGCTGTACACCAGAATCATAATCATAATTTGACATTTTATTCCAACATAATTACATTTACATAATTAATGTAATCTACTGCCCCTTGTGGCGTGAGGGGGACCTGAGGCTGATTTCCGCCCATAACAGCACTAAGTTAACACCGTTGGCGCTATACTTTGTTATCTTGTTAACTTTATTATGTTAATTCTGTTTGTCATGACACACTGGTGGTGGCTGACGTCAGTGGTGCCTGTATGTAAATAACTACTCCTGTATGTTTGTATGTATGTCCTCAAC